ACCTTCATCTTTGTTTGCTGTGAGCGGCTGCGGACGATTTGTGGCCGAGGGCGTGGAGGGGTCCAGGATTTCGCGCGTCGATGCTGGGTGACCACCGGGCTGCCGGTGCGTGTGCGTGTCCACTGGGGCGACGGATGTCCAGCTTGCGGATGTGCGGCTTGCGGTCGTCCGTCATTTCATTCCGCGCCGCGGGACCTACACCCGTGTTGGTGGTGGGCGATGTGCGCGCAGGAGTCAATCGCTCTTCGAGGGAGTGGAGGGTTGGCGGTCCAGGGGTTGTCGGCGATTCTGTCCGCGCACCGTACACTGGGGCGGATGATTTCATTCCGTGCCGCGTGGACCTACCCACATGTCTACCTGCGGGAGTCGGGTGCTCAAGCGTGGGGGCTTAGGCTTGTGCACGGAGCCAAGACCCTTGCTGTGTCCTGCTCATTTGCGTCTCCGTCTCCGTCCGTCGCGCGTGGTGATTCGTGGAGGACTAGGGCGGGGGGTGGTGCTAGTGCCAGATGCATGTGCGTGGAGCCAAGTCCCTTGCCATGTCCTGTTCAGTTGCGTCCCCGTCCGTCGTGCGTGGTGATTCGTGCAGGACGAGGGCGGCAGGTGGTGCTAGTGCCAGATGTGCGATCACTGGCGATTGCTGCTCCTGAGCTGTGGGTGCTGCTCCTGGATGTATTTGGGCATGCAGTGCGAGTGCGAGTGTGGGTGTGGGTGTACGCGTGTGACTGCGCGGGTACTTGTATTTGGACATGCGGTGCGAGTGCGAGTGCGAGTGCGAGTGCGAGTGTGGGTGTACGCGTGTGACTGCGCGGGTATGTGGGTGTGCGACTGTGCGGGTGCGGGATCTGTGACTACAACTGCGCGGGTGCGGGTGCGGGTGCGCACGCTGGACCGTGCGACGGCGTGGGTGTGCGCCTACGCGCAGGTCGAGTTCTTTTGGGATCCACCGCAGCCGTGGGCGGTCCTCGCTCTCCCTCCTCTCTTCCCCTCGTCTCTTGTTCGCCCCCCCCCCCCCAATCCTCTCCCTTTATAGTCCTCTCCCTCTTTCTTTACCCTCTCCCTATATAATGTACACCCCAATCTAACCTCCCCCGTAGTCCCGCGACTGCCCCGATAACACCTCCTCCGCCCCCGCCTCTGGTGCACGGAGCGGCGGCGCGGGCGCGGGTGCGGAATGCTACCGCTGCGGCAAGACGGGGCACATCGCGCGCGCGTGTCCTGATGCAGGGTGCGTTTTTCTTTGCAGTTATGTTTTTTTGGTGCCGATGCTAACTACACACGTTGCACAGATCCTCCTCCACCGGCGGCGGCGGTGCGTTCTCCTCGGGCGGCAAGACGTGCTACACGTGTGGCAACGTGGGACATCTGAGCCGCGACTGTCCCGATGCGGGGTGCGTGTCGTTGCTTTGCTTCATCGCTCGCCCATCTCCCATCTCTCGTATCTTGCCGTCTCCCATTTCCGATCGCTGTACTTACTTCCATCTGCCATCTGCCATTCCTTATTGCTGTGATGTCATCCTATCTCCCCTCGCTGTACATACTCCCACTTCCGCCTTTACTCGCTCGTTTCATGTTCTGTCGATTGATATACGTGATTTGCATCTCCATCCCCATACCGTACTTGATACTATCATCTCTGACCCCTCCCTCCCACGGCGCTTCTCTGGAAACTTGGGCGTTCCCTCCCACCCTCATACCCCCCTCCTCACCGCGCTTCTCCCCTTCTACTTATACATTCCTCATCTTTATACCCACGTCCTTCTGGTGTCTACTCCCTCCCTCCTCTTACCTCGTTCCCCTTCCCTCCCACCATCGTGCCTCTTACACTGCCGCACGCCCCTCCGCCGCCTCCCTGCCTCCCCCTACCCTCCCCACCCCGCCTCTCCCTTCTCCCTTCCCCACCCTCTCCCCTTTCCCCTCCTTCTTCCCAATGCCCCGCGTATGCTAACGAGCCACCTGCGCAGATCCAGCACCGCCGCCACCCGCGAAGGCGGCAGCGGCGGATTCTCCTCGTCCAGCAGCAAGACGTGCTACACGTGCGGCGGCGTCGGCCACCTGAGCCGCGACTGCGTCCAGGGAGCAAGTGTTATAACTGCGGGGAGGTGGTGCGTATTGTTTTGTGTTTTGTGTTTTGTGTTTTTTTTTGGATTTTATTTTCTGTGATTCGTGGGGAGGCAGCGGGGGGAGTTAGGGGTGGAGTGAAGTGGAGTGGAGTGGAGTTTTCAGTCGACGCGCGGGGTTGATGCTGCGCCGCCGACTTTACTCCCCTTTTCGGCTCCGCGGTGTGCTGTACAGTCGGGGGCGGGGGCGGAGAGTCGTCGTGTAGGAGATCGGATACGCGGGGGTTCGACCGACGTACGCGGATGCACCGCTGGGTTTTCTTTCGCTGCTGCGAGCCCACCTTCAGAGTGGATTCAGTTTGGCGGATTGCCTGTTTCGTTCTTTTCCTTCTGCGTCCTTTGTTCGGGCGCCGCAGAGAGCTCCGCGCGCCGACGTTAGTCACGCATATGGCGTCGAGGGCACATCGCGTCTCAATACTGCATGAACAGACACGGTAGACGTCGAGGCTGGTGCTCCCCTCCGCATAGTGCGTGGCACCTTCAGCGCGTCCGAGCGAGCGCGGGCTTGATCCTCTTTATTCTTCCTTCTCTTCCCTCTCTTGTTCTCGGACGGTCGAACGGGGCGGGAGGGGTTCCAGCCTTACCGTACCGTACGGCCCTCTCCGTATCTGCGGAAGGTCGAGCTCACTGCATATGGGAGGAACGTCACGCGTGTGCGTGGGCCTCTCGCTGTGCACCGTTTGTGTGTCCTTTCGTGTCGGCATGCTGGTGCAGGAATAGGAGGTTTACCTCGAGCGTCGTAACGGGCTCGGCTAGTGTACGCGGGGAAAGCGAGCCTGGGGCTGCTTCTGCCCCGCGGCTGCGTCTGCGCACGGAAGGCGGCTTTGCCTCTTGGTCGGGGATGGTGTCGCACGGCGTTACGGGCATGGGTGCGCGCAGGGTCTCAGGGTCAGCGACGTACGTCGTGCGGGGTGTGCACTGTATCCGCCTACTCCCGGAACTCCCGCGTCGTGACAGAATTGTGGACCACGACTTGCTAGCATGGTGCGCGGAGAACGGAGGTAGTGAAGAGTACGTGGTCTGCTACGGGGTCCATGGTACTCGGCCCATGTCCACATGCGGATGTGGGGCACGACGACGCTCCCGACGCGGGTCGAAGTGCATGGGGTGCGGGAGGTTGGGCGCGACCGAGGCTGTGGGCCCTGCGTCATCAAGGGTGCTGTCATGCGCGATACCTGCGTTGTCGGTGGGACCTGCCCTGCGCCTGCTCTGATCTCACCCTCTTCCCCGCCTACTCTCTTTCGCTCTCTCCTTCCTGTACGACGTAGGCTCGGGTTACGCCGCACCTTGTCCCGAGTCGGCGCTCGCTAGCATGTAATTTGCTCGGCGTCAGCATCTTACACGCGCACCACTTCTCTGGGCGGGCAAACCTTTTCCTCGAGGACGTCTATCTGCATACCTTACTCGTGCGGGTACGCTGTGAGCGTCCCTTCGCCCAGCGCTATGATCGGCGGCAGCTCAGATGCAGCTCAGATGCTGCTACGTGGAGGCATAACGCCGCATCTGATCGGGACCTACACTGCTGCTGTTGCCTGGCGTGCCGTCTGTCGTCTGCACGCAGTACGACTGAGCCCTTGTGCGCCGTCCAGATGCGCTTGCGGGACATGCTCGTTCTGTCACACTCACGGAAATCGATACCGTGCTTACGGTCTGCCCGTCCACGGTGCTCTTCCTTTCCTTGGTCGGCGTGGCAGTTGGCTGGTCGAGATCGGCTCGACCTCGTCCTTCTACCGTTGCCTCTTGTCCCCTTCCTTGATCCTTCTTCCTGCGCCTTCTCCCTCCTGCTTACATCGATACTGACCTTTTTTCTTTGCAGGGCCACATCAGCCGCGACTGCCCCCAAGCCCAAAAGCGCGCTTGCTACACCTGCGGGAGCGAAGGGTGTGTTCCCTTTCCTTCCTTCTTCTCTCCTCCACGGTTTCCTTGCGTGTCTTTTTGCTGGCGGATTCATGCTCGCTCTCGATTCCCGCGGACGAGCCTGTCACAACAGACGTTCTCCTTTTCGGGGAACGTCGGTGGGCCCGCGGCGCGGGCTACTCGTCGTTTTACGCTGCCCCTCGTCGCAAGACGCGCTAGTCCTGTTTGCAGAGCGGAGCTCATCTCTTTCGGAGTCTTTCGGCATCACGTTCTTTCGTTCTTTCATTCGGTTCCATTTATTCCTTCGATCACTTCTCCATTCGTCTTCCATCCCTCCCCCCTTCCCCCTTCCCCCTTCCCCCTTCCCCCCTCTCCGCTCCTCCCTGCATGCTCCTGCTTGGAGCGCAGGATATCCATTGACTATTTCATACCCCTTCCTTTCCTTGCCCTCTCTTGCCATGGGGGGTTTTCATATCCTTTTGGGTTCCGTCTGCTCTCGTCCTTGTGATCCTCACGGGCGACACGCTTGCCTTTACTGCATTTACACTTCAGACGTGATGACGTCATCTCATTTTTTCAATTCCCTTTTTCGGACTCTACTTCGTCCTGTCCTTTTACATCGCTTCACAAACACAAACGCTCACGTCCTATCCTCAGACACATCTCGCGCGACTGCCCCGGCGCCACGCAGGCTTAGGCTTGATCTCACTAGCACCATCCACCTTATATATCTTTGCGTTTGCGGAAGATGAGGAAATAATCCAGGAAGGAAAACGAATGGATGAAAAAAGAGGACGTAAAGAAGAAAGAAGGAATACTGATTTGTTCGATATTGACTTGCTTGACCGAATGGAAAAAGATGTGCTGCCGCTTCTGATTATGCTTTCCTCGCAAGACCCTTGATTATCCCTCAATTTTTCACACAATGCTGTTGAGTCGAGGGGTCATATTGGATTGGATCCCAGGACTCCCAGCGGACAAAAAGAGAAAGAGAAAGGCACGAAAAACTTCCATCTCTGGACTGAACGCCGCTGAGAGGAGTTGAACCTCCGCCTCTCTGAAAACACGAGCATCCCAGTCAGGAACAGAAAGCGACCGACTTTGGTCTACAGCGGCTTGTTCTGTCCAGGGTGACCCTCTGCACGCTGCGTTTCAGTGTCCCGTGGATGGGAGCAATGGATTTCTGTTGATAGTGAAGCTACTTACTCGCGTTAGAAACTTGGCTGCTAATCTACTCAGGAATTAAAATCCAAATCATAAATGAAAAATCGTGAGATGCCACTGGACATGCGCGGCAACCAGCCTGAGAAAAAAACCCGCCTGGCATTGGGACTAGAACCATACTTCCTCCCAAATTCCAGCTCAAAGATGGACTCGGAATACGGTGCGGTATACCTCAATTAATCTGAATTTGCACTTATACACCGCAGAATATGCATACTTGCAGCACGAAAATTGAAGCGGACAGCCGCATGCACATATGATATAACGTGAATGAAGTCCTGGCGAGATCTTTTCTATTGTGAGAATAAAATGGGGGTGATTCAGTACTCAGTTGAAGGCCTAGGGAATCCAAAAAGGTCGTGATGGAGAAGTCAAGTGCCGCGGAGGAATCGAACCTCCATTTCCCTCAGATATGTTCGGCTCCCTCATTGCCAACAGTAGAGGGGACCCACCTTGGTCGGCAGCGGCTTTATGTATCGGATTTCATAGAGCAGGAAAGTGTCGAAACTCATCCAAATATCCGAAAATTATCCTGATGTTCCCGGATTTTGAGGCCTGTTCACATCTAGATTCTACACCATTTTATGCTCCCCGATTTTACTGCCCTCATCTTATATGCAAATGATATGGTGTACCAAATACTCTGGTTCATCCAAAATGCCTGTTGGATGCTTTGTTTGACGAAGACTGATAAAATCTTAACACTGGGGACAAAACCCGACGCATGCGGGTCCTGCATGCGTGGTCCCAATAATGATTGTTGCATCTTTGTTTTGGGGGGCATTTCAAAGATGCGGATAGTTGCCGATTTGAGGTCGATTCCCACTCCGTTCGGAAACTGATTCTGAGTCAACAATCAACTGGATGCAAATGGGATGATTGGCACCTGTGCGTCCATTGGTTTAAAAGGCCCTTATCGCAAAGTGTAAAATTAAACACAATATCATTTGATTTCAGGATCTTCTCCCCACTGGATACACGGGCATACGGTGATGCTCGTTGATGGAGATGAGGCGGAGCTGAAAAAAGTTCTCGATTTGCGCCGCAGGATGACAGGCTGTTTGAACTGCCGATCTGTCACGGTATAATTGAACTGATAGTTTGATGGCAAAGGGGGAACGAAAGCGGCAAGACTCCGAACCGAAGAGAAGATACAGCAAAATGGGTAAGGTTCGAAGGGGAAGAGGCAATACGTCCAGATGAATTGGGAAAGAATCGGAGTCTTAAGGGAACGCTTCCTGGCCCAGTATTTTCGCTGCACAGTGGTTTTCAATCGCCGTGGGATCTACGTGCCTCTGTGGCGTATCACCTTTATTTATCATGGTGTCCGTACTTGGAAGCCTACCAACACACAGGTAAGTAGACTCGAACCAGTCGTTATTTTCGGCATTGATAGTCGATCAATAGAGCGGTCAAATAACTGATTAAACAACTGTCTTTCACCGTCTTTGATCTCTTCGCCTTTGGTACTGGTTCGAGTCTAACACACACATCAGGACAACTATAGATTCGTCTTTGGTGTCTTGTCCAAGACGCGAAAGACCCATTTTTGCCCAAGACGGCACTCTAAGCAGATTCAATTTTCTTGTACAAGATGCTCATATTAGATATCAAAGACACAGCAATTAGAGAGCTTGTGGCAGCCACCAGGAGCCACCCGGTGGCTGATCGGGCATGCGGTAGCTGGTGGCTGTGGCTGGCTGGTGGCTGGCACATTGATTTCATGTGTGATCTTAGAAAAGACCTCTGCTCTCTGGTTCCTGTTTATAGCAGGTAAAGTCATCCTGGTGTCCAGACTGCGCTTTACTGCCAAAAACAAGCTATTTTTTTGATGAATGGAAAGAAAGCTTAGCTGTGCTGCCTTCTTCGTGCAGGCCTAATACAAATTGGTGTCAAATATAGTGGTAAAGGACCATAAATAGACTTGGGTGCCATCCCACAATGTGCGAGATTCAGCCACTGGAGGAGCCACAGCCACCGGCTACCGCATGCCCGATCAGCCACCAGGTGGCTCCTGGTGGCTGCCGCAAGCTCTCTATTGGTGCTTCTCAAGAGGTTCCAAGATGTTCCAAAGATATGTTTCAAGATGATATATTGCATGGTATTGAAGCATCAGCAAACCCTGGGAACGGCTGTACCGTGGGTACCCCCTTACGTAGCGATCTGCAGTGGTACGTACCGCCTGTACCGTGCTGTACCTTTTCGCTGATGTACGTAGTGCTACGTAAGGGGGTACCCACGGTACAAAAGGGCCCAAGGTTTGCTGATGACTTTGCATATTACAAAACAGAACAAGACACGAACAAAAGACCAGTGGATGGCCGCCATCCGCATCGCCCATGTCCGTGGACATTCGCAGCAATGGGAAGGCGGTACGTGCAACGATGATCAAGGAGGTGGCAGTAGACACAATCTTTTTCGATAAGACGCAGCTGAAGTCACACGACCTGAAGAAAACAGGAAAAAAGCCACTGCCAGCGCGAGTGATAAAAATACATCGAGACTCACCTTCTCCCGTACATAAATACTTCATAGATATCTTCCCCGCGCACACAATTATTGCGTATTTGACAAGGCGCCAATCGGGTGCCCAAGATCGAGCGCCGATCGACGGGACGAACAGGAATTGGCAGTTCTTGATAACATACAAGGTAAGGCTTGAGGTAGAAAGATATTTCATCTTGAATACAAAATATTTGAGGCCTTGAGGGCTTGAGTATGTGGCGGTCGCAAAGCGAGTCAAGAGAACAAATGGCTTGAGACTTGAGGAGTGGGCTTGGATACAAACAAGTGAGGTACAAGCTAAATTCTGTTTGTAGTGTCTGTCTACGAGAGACTACTTGGATACTCGAGGCAGCAGGGTTGCAGTGGACTTGAAGCTTGAAATGAGTACAGTAGTCGTTGAGACGGAAGGGAGCACCATGGTGGGCCCCGGGGGAAGAAAAGTATCGGCAACCATCAAATGCTCAGCCAGATGACGAGTCGTGCACGGCTGATGGCGGGACTTGGGTTTTTCGCCGATTTTCTCGCACCATCAAATCGAACCGCGTGTCTGGGGCCGCGGGCATCGAAGTGGTTGAATCCAACTTCGGCGGACTCAAGAAGCTCAATCCGAATATTCACTGCTACAACACAGCTGCTTTATCATGCTCCAGTACACATTCGCAAGGAATGTTTTCAAAACGTCTTTATTCTGCCTGCCAGCAAGTATCATTCCATACAATTCTCAACTTGGAACCCATGGCTCATGGATGTATAGCAGTAGTTATGCTTATAGGCTCGAATCCAGCCTGTCGTACCGAAAGACACGTCTGTCGGTAGACAGGCTGGTCGATCTGAGTTTAAATCCTCGACACACATAAATTGATCGCATAATCACCATAAAAGGTTATTCCGGCCCGCGGATCCGTGCGGCTGGTCGATCTGAGTTTAAATCCTCGACACACATAAATTGATCGCATAATCACCATAAAAGGTTATTCCGGCCCGCGGATCCGTGCGGGTGTGAAATTTTGTTGGCTTCCCACACACTCGGATAGCACGGTCCGGATAACCTTTTATGGTAATTAATTTGTATTGAGAATTCAAACTCAGATCGACTGGTCTGTCTATTGACAGGCTTGCCTTTTGATACGACAGACAGTAACTGGTCTATTATGCTTAGTTCTCCCCCCCCAAAAAAAATATCCCTACACATTGCAAGGAAAGATGGATTGAAGACCTAAGATGCTCAAAGACGGCCGTTCCAAGATGAAAGATGCCTTTCCCACACAAAAATGCTGAAAGATGTGTTTCAAGGATGTAAGACACGTTCTAAAGATGGAAGATACCAAAGACGAACTTGTAGTTTTGCTGATGCAGCGAACTTGTATATCTCTAGATCTCCAAATCTCCGAGCTTCGATCTCTAAATGTCCATGCGTGTGCAGATCATAAAGTTGGTTTATTCCAGGTTTTACTCCATATAACTAGGGATTCGCCACAAGCCTCCCTGCAACTAGTCCCGACCCAGAATTATACTAATATACGGATCAGAGATATTATTTCACCTCTGGACTCTACAACCATGCCGCCGCAAAATTCCTTTCCACCATCAACCTCACTCTCATTTAACGCCGATAGCACGCTGGGTGAGTTTTCATCTCATCGCCGCTCCGCCTTTTGTTTGGTTTACATCCCTTCAGGCGCATTGCTAGTCGGCACACTTCTCTCGTTTGTGTTGTTCGGCGTAACAACCACCCAGACCTACTTTTACAGCGGGCGTTTCCCCAATGATTCTCGCAACATGAAGTTGCTCGTGCGTCCCAGTGAAACTGTGGGGGTGAAAGAATCTAACTTTCATTGCATAGGTCGCCTGTGTCTGGACTTTAGAGCTGGGTCATGTCATCTGCATCGGGCACACTTTATATGTCCTGGCAGTCACCGATTTTGATCATCCAGAACGATTAAGTATGTTTCCACAGTCGATGGGGGCCTCTACGCTCTTCAACGCCCTTGTAGCTATGTGCGGTACGTATTCAATAAATCATGAACTTAGTAGCATTTATTGACGCAAATTCCAGTCCAGGGATACTTTTCGTTCCGGATATACCGCCTCGGGAAGCGACTGTACATCCCACTTCTCACTTGGACACTATCCTTTCTGTTCCTGGGTGGATCGACTGTGATCTTCGCCGTCGGACAGCGGACAGTTTCTTTTTCGTTATTTGACGCACGGTGGGGATGGTTATTTGACACGCTCTGGGCGGTTGCGGCTGCGAACGATCTAATCATTGCCGTGGTTTTGGTCTTCTGGCTGGTTAAAAAACGGGACGAGTCAGAATATATGTTAGTCGTCTGGGCTGAAACATGGGTTGTGTTTTGACCTTTTCCCAGGACTCATGTGCTTGACAA